TATATATATAATTTTTTTAAAAAAGATGTATTTCATCCAATGACTTTTTTTTATGTATTTTTTTGACGTAATATGGAAAATTTATGTGATGCTAAAGTTAGGGTGTTAGATATGTAAATATTAATTGGGTGGTATGAATGTAAATGCCCATCTTAATTTATAAAAGCGCTGTAGCGGGTGGTGGGCCCGTCAGATTGATTTTATCGTAACATGAAAGTGGGCGATCTAAGTTATCAAAAAATAAACTTTATAAATATGCAGAGAAGATTATTTTATTAGAGCTGTTAATTAAAATTTATGAATATTTAAAGCTTAAAGCTTCATTGCAAGGGAACAAACGGGGGACCTTAGAATGCAGTTAGAGCTAGGGTGTAAACGAACCGAACACGAACACACGAACGAACATAGTTCATGTTCGTGTTCAGTTCGTTTGAAATTAATTGCGTTCGAAATTGTTCGTGAATGATCTGTTCGTGTTCGTGTTCGGTTTGATTTGTTTGAAATTTGTTCGAGTCGTTCGAATCGTGTGAGTCGTGTGAAATGTTCGAAATGTTAAAAAATGTTCGAAAGTTTTCATTTTTATTTATATTTTTTGAATGATTTAATGTACAATGACAAGCCTTCTCTATTATGAGAAATTGACCCACACTCCATGACATATAAAAATTCAAAATATAGATAAACTAATGAATTTTCTTTTTAATTAAAATATTGGAAAAAAAATTTAAAAAAAATCACTCAAAATAAAAAAACAATTATATTTCAATCACTATCTCTCAAATTGTATATCTTCAAATGGAGGGAAATTGTAGAAGAGCCAACATAAAGACAAATAGTTAAAAGACATGAAATATTACATTAGTTATTGGCTATATTAAAGTAAAAATGAAGTATTCTGCATAGAAGAGGTTCCAAATAAATCGATAGAATTGCAGTATGACTTCCATCAAATTTGGCTGCTGCGGATGGATGTTTAATGCAGAGGATTTTGGAAGGCTGAATGGCAGAAGAGACCTCTCACTGCAAGTAAATTTATTTCAGGCAATGTAAAAGATCAAGATTAAATAACTGTATACAAGAGATGCTATGGTAACGAAGGGGCAAAATAATACTTCAGGAGGGGCCAAATTGCCCTTCCATTTGCCATGAAAAGAAAAAAGAAAAAAAATATAAGAACTTTCTATATTCCCACGAAAAGAAAAAGAAAAAAATATACCCATTTTCCATGCATGATGATGCAAGTGAAGTCATTCTGTGTATATAATTCATATTGTTATCAGGAGCAATGAGAAGCCAGAAGACTCCATGGAGAAGAAATAGAAGATTTTGTTCACAGGAAGTTAGTTAATTTTACTAAAACATATCAAAATAATAGAACTAACAGTTAATTACTCATCTTTATTTATATACGGGGACGAAAGATCATTCATATGATGCAAATGAAGTTATGCAAAATATCCATCTCTAGCTCTGTATTCTGAACAACAACCAACACTTCAAGCTGCAGTAAAATGTAGTTCAAGCTGCAGTAAAATATTCAATCATACAACCAGCTAGAAAGTCTAATGGTAATCGAAACCAGGGAGAGGAGAGAGGGAAACAGCCCTCTCACCATTTTTGGGAGTTGCTGCACCTCTCCAAAGCCCTTAAATTTGAATGCAGTTGATGAAATGGAGAAAAATTTCATTGTAATCGACCACTACCCATAAAAAAAGCCCAATAAAATAATATATATGACAATCAAATCTTAGCATACAGTGATATAGTATAAAAAAGAAAAGGAAATAAGGTATATAAATCAGCAAACACTTTAGAGAGGAATTATGCTCCGATTATGAAGGCAAAATTGGATCTCCTTGCCTCAATCTCCCCGTAAGACACATTTACATGGAATCTAAAAGGCCATGGCTTTTGTCAGCAAAAGACGAATTGAAGCAGCTATTTTTCACTAAGGAAAAATTATACTCATCTAAAAAACTGATTGGTTTCATTATAACATTTCTTTTCACCTTTCACCCACAGGGCAAATTTGAGATTTTTAAAAAATAAAATTTAAATTTACTAACAATTACATCATAGCAATTAGGCACTAAATAATACAAAATCAAGGAAATTAAACTAAGATGACAAATGAATAAGAAATGAATAAAAATGAAAAGAAACTGTATTTGAAATATTAATGAATTAGATATTAATGAATGAGAAATGAATAAGAAATGAATCAAGTTTAGAAGGCTATGTCGAAGAAGCTCATTTGATGGATGATAACAACAGATGTTTGCTGGTTGCAAATTGATTTATTGAAATAATAAACCTCCTTTTAGCCTTACAACAATGTTCTTCAATGACTTCAAATGTAAACTCAATATTACTACAAATTGATTTATTGAACAGCCAACTACTAGCCTTCACGTCGCCCGTCGAAGATGAGTATGACGGAGTGGGGGCTGGAGATTGGCCGTCCTAACATGCGGTATCCCGACGGAATATTTTCATCTGAATGTAAGCTTCACAAGCCAGATGCTGATATATAAATAAACAGAGACTTATGATTCTTCATCATGTTGTTATGTAATTGATTTTGCCAGAAACTTTTTTATTTTTATTTTTTGAGTTTTTGATCAGCATATATCTAATTAAATGCTGAATAAGTATGCATTTGATTATATGCTTAGTGGTGGGGTTTTAACAGATGTTTTTCATTTATAAAGTATAATAAACCATTATTTTATTTATACAATCTATTAATTATTATATGTTTATCAACCAACGATATTGCAAATTACTTTATTTTGGAGAATTTGCATACATGTCACTAAGTTTTTATGAATTTACATATACATCTAATATTTTAAGGGACAATTACATCCAGAACACCCTATTTTTAAACATTATTACAATGCTGCCATTTTTTGTTTTCTTTCACGAGTATCTTCTAGATGACATAATTTTATTTCTATAATTATAATATTATTTAAAATATTAAATTATTATTTATTATATTTATCTTAATTAAATAATTAAAATAACTATAATATTAATTATATTTATATTATTTAAATACTAATTTTAATAGTTATATATTTAAAAATATTAATATGTAACTTTATACACAGTGACGCCCACTCCAATTCTGTCGTGCCGGCTTACTTTTTTTTTTTTAAATTATTTTTTTATGGCCGGGTCGGGTCGGGTCTGGTCGGGTCAGCTGGAAATTGTGATCAGCATTGACTAGTTGGCAATGTCATTAGAGAATGAGCCATCCTTCCTCGCTCTTTCCTTCCTTGGGAGTTGCTTACGTACGCAGCGCGTATAAGAGGGCGGGAAAAAGAGAGAGCTTCGTCTTAGCTTACTCTCTTTTAACTCCCCTCTTATTGACATGAGCACTCAGTTCAGCAAGAGGCGCGCCGGTGACGGTGGCACAACTGAATCTGTCTCAGCTGTTGGCAATACGGAGAACATGGTGGAGCTGAGCTCGTCCCAGGAAGCGTTTCGGGTTGATCCGGATTTCCAGACCTTCGATGCCAGTCTCCAGCAGCGCTTCAGCTGCCTTTTGTCTGATCCGGCCGTCAACGTCCAGCTCCCCTCAATTTCCTTCGACTCCACTGGATCCCTCTTTTATGTGAACCAGGATGGCGTTAGCATAAATCTGGAAAGCAAAAAGAATGTATGGAAGAATCCCAAGTCGTTCCAGCCGGTTGTTGACTACTTCAAGAATAGTATACATACGAGTGATTCCCTTATTGCTCTCGAAACGAGTCTTAAGAAAGCTCGCGACTCTCAACCTTTCGTTGAACTCGCTAAAAAAAGCTTCGACGAAGAATACGCTGTCGCTGTCGCCGCCGATGAAGAGGACCAACCTCCGAGGAAGACGAGATACGCGAAAACCTTAGATGAGTTTAGGCAATATTTTTTCGCCGACGGAATTGGTGAGTTTAAACCGGTATACCAGCAACAATTGTCATCGCTCGGGAAGTTACAAAATCTAGAAGCGGAACAAGACAAAAAGCTTAAATCAGTTAAAATATGGAGAAATGTTACTCGCATAATCTTTGTCTCGGCTTTTGCGGCACTTTTCATCTGCTCCGTGGTAGCTGCTTTTGAGGCAGCATCTCGCATAGCGGCGGCATTGGCGGCAGCCACTGCGATTCCCGTGGGATCCATTGGAAAGTGGTTTGATTCCAAGTGGAAGGACTATCAGGACGCCCTTAAAGTTGAGAAGGAACTAATTAATAAAATGCATGCAACGACTTCTGTTGTGCTTACTTATTTGAATAACATTAAAATTTTAGTAAACCGATTGGAAGATAATATAAGATCGTTGTCTGATGATGCGGAATTTGTGCTCGAAGATGAAGATGCCGTCAGGCCCGTGATTGAGGAGATGAGAAAGAAGATAGAAGTCTTTATGAAAATCATTGAGGATTTGGTGCAGCAGGCTGATCAGTGTAGCAGGATCTTAAGCAGGGCAAGTGCTGTGGTTTTGCAACTAATTATTAAACTGCATAAATGATGATGTGGAAGCAAATTGGTAAGGATTTTTTAAACTGTGGTTTAATGAATCATAGATGAACTTCTAAATTCATCAAATTTTCACCCTTCTCCAGCTGGACGGTTAGATTCCGCGCTGATTTAAGTAACTAGATTTAAAAAACTTCAAGCCTGAGTTCAGAGTTATCCATAAATTGTTCTTCTCGCCTTTGAATTGCGGGGGGTCAAAGTAGCTACAGGGGAGAGAGAGGAGCAGCGGCCGGCCATGGTTAGAGAGCGAGATCCAGAGAGAAAGAGAGAGCACTGTCACGCCTCTTGCTTAAAAGAATGGAATAAAAGAATGCTTACTTTAAGGTCTAAAGACCCATTGCAGGGAACGGATTGGTACCTTAAGAATGCAGTTACAACGAGAGTTGATGTATCATTTTGATGTGATTGATATAAATATAATTTTCTTTGTGGTCATTTCTATCAATAAGCTATATAGATAGTTGGACTTGAATAATAATTCCCATATAACTTGCTATTTCTTTGTAATGTTTATTAACACCAAATAATTTGATGGTTAGAGCGATATTAATATTAATAAGTCTCCAAGAAGAAGTCGACCCTTATATGACACACTTTTTGTGTTTCTACGACTAACATGTAAAAAATGGATATGATCACTTATATCGTAAACAAATTTTAGTTTTTGAATTTAATTTATAGTTTACACATTAAGAGATTCACGCAAGTGCACGTATTGTTCAAGTAACATAGAGCTTTCTTTCAAAAACCTTAAGCATCGATCCACGAGGAAAGATGTTAATTAGTAACGACTCAATAAAAATTTTAGTCTACAATAACTCGTCTTAGCTTGAAATTTCCATTTTTTAAATATGGTTTACCTAAATTCACTATTTATCATACAATTAAAATCAACTAAGTTAACTAAAAACCTAATCTACCAAGGCTAGTTCAATTTGGAATGTTCTTATATAATTAAATTCTCCTCCCCCTTGCATTGAATATATTAACATGTGTAGTGGCAAAAATTGGTAGAATTTTATGATAACGTTTGTGACAAAAGGAACATGTGTCTACCTACCCTCTTTCGAGTGTATAGATATGCTTAGTTCACTATTAGTATTTAGCAAATATCAATGATGCATGTTGGTTAACATGTCTTACAACTCATGGCAATGAACCCAATTTCTCATCCATTAATTATCACATAGAAGCCACCAGTAGGAACTGATCATGAAATATATTTCCCTATAATTTGCACTGATCTACGGACTACTCTTCATTCACCCTTATAGATCAATGTAGTTCTTACTAGTTGTGAAAGTCACCGCACTCCCGGATTTTAGTGTAAATTACAACAAATTTTAACATACAAATTAACCAAATTTGATATGTAAATGGAGTACAAAGTAAAAACCACCACATTGATTTTAAAGTCATTATACCATCATTAAAATATCTTGCACATGCCACTAAATCATCACAAGAGGAAAGATTAAGAAAAACTACTCACTAAGTATGGAGAAAACACATGAACTCTTTATTTTATATAAACTTGAAACCACACACACCAATTTTCTAATCAAAATAAAACTTATAAGACTTCTCTTTCTGAAGATTCAATCTCTACTTGCACAACAAATAACAATTTCTTACAATCCTCTCCAATCTCTCTGAGATAAAGTATAAGAAATGAAGAAATGTTTCAATTCCTCCCTTTCTCTTTTCTCCCTAAGTCCCAAGAGACACCAAGAACTCCAAAAAACACTCTCCACTCAAAGAGACAACCCCTCCTCAAAATCCATCATAAAGGCTTAAAACAAATGTCAAGTCGGTTTCTGGCTCCTAGACACCAGCTTTGTAGAAGCCCTAAGTAAATGCCTAGCGCCATGTCAAAATTTTCTTTGTCGCTCCATTTGACTCCAAATTGTCTCATTTTCGCTCAATTTACTCCAATTGCTTAACCTGTCGTACTTGTAATAAAAAACACAAAAATATCTTCCTTTAAAGTGGAATATCACTAAAAATAAGCATTAAATGTATATAGAAAAATCAATTTTGTTCTAGAAATGTTATAATCCAACCTATAAGAAGTTCCAATAAATCAAATGATATCTAAAGTATCAGAATATTTAGTATTAAACTTAGAAAAACCGATTTTCTATCTAATTCAGAAGTAATTAAAATTTTTTCAAACTTTGAATTCTTAGAAAAATATAAATTTCAAAATCAATAACTCTATTTTGAAAAGAATTTTTTTGAAAATAAATCAAGTTCAGGATTGTTCTTAAGTCTCATTCCTCTGAAATTCAAGTCATAGTCTTGTAATAAATAAGAGAGAGAGAGAATATCACTTGGCTGTTGGTTCTATTTGTGAAGCTTCTTCTTTCCCTTTGCTTTCCTTATTCTGCTTCTATTATGTGAGATAAGGTTTCATTAAGCAGTCCAACTCTAGCCAGAACAAATTTCTTGGCTCTTCTACATCTGCAAATCCAGTCAATGTGTTTATCCAGTTCGCACAGAGACCGGGTAAGCCCTATTCTTTAGTTAACATGCCACTCTATTCTTACGTATTTACATATCTAACACCTAAATTTCGAGTAAAAGATAATTATTAGGTGTTAGATATGTGAATACATAGGAATTGGCTCGTATGGATGCAAAGGCCCCATAATTCGGCTAAATTTCTAAAATGATATTTAATTTTTAAAAAAAACTGACATTAAAAAAAAAGGAATAATTTCTAAAAATGACAAAGTAGGCACGTCCGCGGCAGCGTTGCGACGTCGCAACTTCTGATGGTAGATGTAGTTTTTATGGGATCGTGAGATGCGAAAAAAAGTGACCGTGGCATCATGGCGTTGTAGCTTGATAGGTTCTTTTGAGAATGAGGTAAAATTATGTTCTACTATAGATATATGGAAAATCTTTTGTTTAGTGATGTAATGTCTTTGAATATCGGAAAATATCTCCGTACATAAGACGTACGCAGCGCTACGAAGACGTACGCAGCGCTACGTACGTCCAGGGGTTATATCGGGGTTATACCCCTCTGTAACCTCCCTGTAACCTCAGTGTAACTTATCTGTAACCTACAAATGAGTTTCGCGCTTCTGTAGTTTCATGGGAGTAAATAAGTTATACGGAGGTTACATGGGAGTTACACGGAGGTTACAGGGAGGTATAACCCGGATATAACCCCTCTGTACCCCCTGAATAACCCCTGACGTACGCAGCGCTGCGTACGTCTTATGTACACAAATATTTTCCCTGAATATCTCCCAAAGTTGTATGGCAAGAAAGATAAGTTTTTACCATTTTAGATCACAAAGAAGCCTTACATTAAGGTCTAAAGATTCATTGCAGGGAACGGATTGGTACGTTAAGAATGCACTTAGAATGAGAGTTGATGTATTATATTTGATATGATTTATGTACATATAATTTATTACTCTGCTTTTGTAAAAAATTAAATAATTATAAAGGAAGGGAAAAAATTTTATTTTTTTATTATAAATATTGGTATAAAAATGAAAATAAATAATTTATGAACTTCTCTTTTCCCCTCTTCTCGCTTTAATTAATGAGTACGAGGACATAGTAAAGACATTCAACTAAGGGCCCGTTTGGGGCTGCTTATAAGTGCGGTGATGTTTTTGAAAACACTGCCTAACCGTTTGGTTCGCACGTTTTTTGAAACGTTGTCTATCGCGTTTGGGTTTTTTACATTAAACGTTGGCCGCGTTTAAGGATAAGCTGCTTATCCTGAAACACACAAGCTGCATCAAACATACACTGAAAGTTAGACAGTCAATTCTCCAAGTGTAATTGATATTGAAATTGCTTGGCATGATGCTAAGATCAGCGTAGAAAAACATAATGGTAGTAACACGAAGTAGTTTGATGGTTGGAGCAATATTCTAATTTGTTTCTTTAAGAGCATTTTTCATCATCCTTGTAACATGTGAATTGAATCCCTAACAACATGACCAACACAAGCCTCATTTATAATCACCCTTAAACTCTTGCATGTTAGCTTCAAAATTTTAGAATAAGAGCCTATGAAAGTGTGATTTAACGTACTCCTAAATACACTAAGAGGAGAGTGGTATGATGAACGATGAGGGGGTATATTGTAATGACAAAACAATAATCTAGGCACCATTGCATAAACTACCAATTATTAGTTCTGATGATATTGTTAGCTTGCTTTCTTTTTAAACCTTACATATAAAAACCTAAGATAACCGTATTCAAAGAGGTTAGAGTTCAGAATACATCCATTAAAATCACTCATTCTATTGAAAGGTGGAAAGATTTCCTCTAAAAATTTCATTACAATATCAAATACGATTAAAGTCTCCAAGAAGAAGCCAAAAAGAGCAGATCAGACTGTCTGACTGTAAAAAACTATATTTCATTACAATATCAAATACAATTTGACATTAAGAAAATGTATTTCACTCATGACTTTTTTTATGTAATATGAAATATTTAAGTGATACTGATTTAAATTGTCAAAAAATAATCTTTATAAATATGAAGACAAGATTATTTCATTAGCTCTATTAACTAATATTTTTGAATATTTGAAGGGTAAAGTTTGATTGCAAGGAGCAAATGGAGGACCTTAGAATGCTCTTCGAGTGATAGGTGAACGAGAGTTAATCTATTGTTTGATGTGATTTATGTAAATATAATTTATTAGTGTGCTTTTGTGTTCTTCTCGCTCTAATTTTTCTATTCTTCATCTTTATCAAAAATGAGCTCACCCGCCGATGTAGTTGAATTTAGCCGACCTGGCAAAGTGATTGAATCGAGCTCACCTGATAGAGAGTCTGATCCGGTTCACCCCCGTCTTCTTTGGGAAGGCAACATAAGTCTATCTTCACAAGAGTAGTTAATCAGGACCTAAAAGGATACATTTTGAGTCTTGTATTACTTGAGCCTTGTATTAGAGCCCTGCTACGCTTATAAGATTTACACTTTCCCTGTGGGCCTGTGGGATCGATAAATAACCAGGACTCCATTAGAGCCATGTATTACTTGAGCGATACATATACTTGTGTTTATATTGGCAGCTTTACTATTAAACTGATTATACTGAAAAGGATTTTATTGAGATTGAATTAAAAATATTTTGCATTTGCTGCACTATGTGTTGTAGTGTTGAGAGACATTTATAGCACACATAAAAAGTCGCGGTCAAGTTGCACGAGTTATGAGTCATTTAGGTCATAATAGTGGACTGTGAGGACGTCTGCAGTCTTGAGTGAGTGAAGTTGAGAGCTACATGAGTTGTAAGACATGCTGGTCGAAGTTGGTCACATATGTCATATTGGTGAGTTGTGATGGTGTATGTAGGTCGCAGGTGCTGGAGTCAAGAGCTGCATGAATTGTAAACTACGTAGGTCATAGTTGATCACATAAGTCATAGTATTGAGTCGTGTTGATGTCTGTAGGTCATAAAGATCAGAGTTGTGAGTTGTTCAAGCTGTGAGCCATGTAGACCATATTTTGTCACGCATGCCAAAGTGGAGAGAGCTTTAGAAGCCTAAATAAAGTCATCATCTTTGAGATGCATTGTTATACCGTCTTTAGGAGATGTCCTTGCACCGTATGTGAGCTGAGCTGTTATACCATCATCGGAGTGTGTCGTTGCACGATATTCAGGGTGCATTGTTGCACCATTTTTTGGAGGCTTTATCGTATGGTGTGTGGAGTGCATTGTTATGTTGGATGCCTCATTACTTTGCAATACTCCAAGATTTCACAGCGCACGTCATGACTCCACAAGGAACTTTGTTGGAAGGATTAGATGATGACCAAGGGTAGCCGAGGGCATAGGGCGGCAGGCAATGGTAAACGGTGGCCAACAGGTGGTGGAGCGGGAGGTATTCGTCAGATCTGTGGTGCATAAGTGATGTTGGACTTCAACTTCTCTTTCAAGCTTCAATTTTCTTCTAGCTTAAGGTCTTCCCCCTTTTCAAGAGGTGGGTATGAATTTATTTATAGAGCCTGAGATGCAAATAAGGAAAAAATTAGTACTACTCTGATCAGACATCCTGAGGAGGTTCCTTCGATCAAACTATATTATGTGGGTATTTGGGTGCCTTGATGATGTTAGAATTGAGTGACATTGAACTTGTTAGAATTGCCTTGTCGACACGCTCGAGTTAATTATAAGCATTTCATATTTAGAATCAATTTGAACATCAAATTATACCATGAAAGCTTTCAAACGTAGTTGAATGACTTGACTTGATTAGGATTTGACCAATTTTGGTACCGTCGGGTTCATCTCATCAATCAATTTTGATTGTAACTTTGATAAATTAGAGTTTTACATGATTTTTAATTGCAAGTTGAATATTTTTTTTCTAAAAAAAAATTCTCGAGATTCATGTCATGCCTTCGAGATTCATGCTGATGATACAATTTTGTTAAAAGCCAAATAATTAAACTTTAATATTCTTTTTATTTTAAAGTTTGAACTCGAATGTAATTAATTCAAACCTTTAGCTTAATTGAGATAATTTAGTTTTTAATCATATGTTCATGATATAAACTATTTATTTTAACCTTACATTATGTCTATATTAAATTTAAAATTATTTGCTCACTTTCAAAAACTTTTTATGATATAACTAACAAATAAATTTCATTTTGAGCAATCCATAGACGCCACGTGGCTCAAAGGCAAAGTCATTTTTTTTTTAATCAGGTTTGGTGTCTTTCTTTTTGGGTGAGCCTTTTTATTCTGTTGTTTCATATTGGCCCCAGTCAGATTTAGGGCCCGTTTGAGTCAACTTATAAGTACAGTTACGTTTTTTTTGAAAACAACGACTGATCATTTTGTTTGCGCGCTTTTTAAAACGCTACTTGCCGCGTTTGAGTTTTTTACACTGAACGCAGGTCGCGGGCCACGTTTCAGGATAAACTGCTTATCCTGAAACACACAAACTGTCTCAAACATACCCTTATTTACGGTTTCCATGGCCAAAGTAACAATTGTTATTTAGGCTACATTTAATTTTATTTATTATATTTAATAGGACTTGATGGTAAATAAGATCATCTTTATTCAAACAAACATTAAAATATATTCACACATACCAAACAATTCTTGTGTATTTGCGTATCTACCCCCTAAAATTTAATATTTATATTTACAATACTTTAGTATTGCCGCGATTCATACTTTCAATACCTTATTACTGCTTAGAAATCATGAATCTAATTTGGTGATTTGAAATGAGAATCTCTCATGTTGTTATTGTTGAACGCGCTATAAAAAAAAAGCTCTCGACTTTCAGCTTATCGTTGAATGCGCTATTAAAAGTTTCGAAGAAGAATACGCTGTTGCTGCCGACGAGGTCCAACCCCCGAAAACCCTAGATGAGTTGAAGCAATATTTTTTCTTCGACGACACTGGTGAGTTTAAATCGGTATACAAGCAGTAATGTTCAATGGTCGGGAAATTAAAAAATCGAAAAGAGGAGCTAGACAGAAAACTTAAATCAGTCAAAATATGGAGAAATATTATTTGCATAATCTTTGTCTCGACTTTTGAAGCACTTCTCATCTGCTCTGTGGTAGTTGCTCTTAAGACATCACCTGCAATGCCGGCTGCCACTATGATTCCCAATGGATCCATCGGAAAGCGGTTTGATTCCATGTGAAAGGACCATCAGAATGATAAATTTTCACAGTTTTAGATCACAAAGAGTCTTGAGTGCCGAAGCCGACGACAAAGTCGTCCGAACTTATCGATTCTTGAGTGTCGACGATCTAGGAAGAATCTCGGCCCTGAAATACGATCTAAGGTTTGCTCCCTATCCCTGATACCATGTCAAACATTTTAAATAAATAGACTGAATGCTCTTTTTACCTTTGATTTCATTCCAATAAATAATTGTCTGTACAATCTATCTTCGGTAGCCTAATAATGCATAATAATGTGTAAAGTCTATTTTAGATAATTTAATAATATTTATTTCTAATCTAAATATTTAGCTAAGAGAAAATAATATGTACAATTAAAATAAGACATTTAATACAGTAATTTTGTTTTTTGTTCTCTATTTTTAAAATCCTTTATTGTGCTAAATGATTATATGATTAGCGTCGGGATTTAACGGTTTTATTTTGGAGAATTTACGAACATGTCACTAATTTTCTATGTATTTATATATATATATATATCATGACT